ATAAGAATTTCTACAGATAGATCGTCCAATCGGAATGAAATGTAATCAGTAATCTCTTCTGCTTTCTGTGTCATAATAGCAGCAAAATGATCGCTGTTGCAAAGCGAAGCAATGCAACAACAACAAACAGAGGTCATGCATTGTGTCTTTGTATTTCACAGAACCACCAATTAAGTGAGAGCTCTGCATACACACGAAGGAAAAATAGAGAACTGCTAGTGTTATTCTTCGGCTCCACTCATGATACTATGGTTCGAAATAGGGATGAGAATTTATTGTTATCTTGTTGTTGTTCATAACAATAACTAATTTTGTTATTTGTTATTTATAACAATAACTTTTTTCTACCATTGTTATAAATAACAAATGTCTCTTTTTTTGAAAATCAACTCGCTACCTATCTTAGCTATATCATATGAATCAGCACGATAGAAGTTGGATATTTGTTCTAAAGCATAAGCTTATATAACGAATACAATTACGGTTTACAGCGAGGTGAAACAGAGTTTTTTCCAGAAAAGACAGGTATCTGTTATTTATGACAACAACAATAAATTCTCACTCCGAGTTCGGATGGAACGGGTATTTTTCGAAAAATCCAATACTGATTTGTTTTTGATCTGATAGGGGTCTGGCAATTCACTTCACTATAACTGTTCTCAAGAAATCGCCTTTCGTTCAGTCTGGGCAAAAGTACCACCAACAATAACCAATTCCAATATTCAGTCTCGATCAGGTTTTCTCACTACTTAATCTTTACCATACAACTACAGATAAGACAGAAGATCTTAATGAAGAGGTTCTCGATGATATTCTGATATCTGTCTTTCTCCTTCAATGCTCATTTCTACCATGTTCACGTGGACGAGGAGATAGCTCTTCAAATCAGTCACTTCTGGCAGTACACAGAAGACGATTCGACTGATTCAGTACTCGATGATCGAATGCAACAGCTAAGTTTTGATTCCTCTGACGACGTGTCTTGCACAGTAATATCGAGATCAGTGACATGACTCGAACAAGGGCAAACGAGTTCATCGTTACGGAAGGATGGAAATAGATTTGAAAAGGTCTTTTCATCTCTAACTGCATCTACTTACAGTATCCGAAAGGCATGAGTGTGAATGTGGGTCTTTTTTTCTTACACATTCACACTCACGTCCACACCCACACCGACACCCATAATCATATGACAAAATAGCATCAAAGAAACAAGTTACATTTGATATTAAAATGTAAATGTTTTAGATTAATGATTATATCAGGTAAAAAGGATTGACGAATAAAATTTGCATCGACAATATATATTTTAACTATTATGACTGAACATGAACTCATTCTATTTATTTGCAGATAAGCTTTGAATTATTAAGAATTCATTTCAAATAAGCTGAGTCAAAATCATTATCAATGAAAGTTTTCATAGTAAAATAATATAATTTCAGTAGACTGAATGAGTAGAAAAGAAACGTACATAAGAAAACTTATTCTCTCAATACATTTATCTTTCTACAAATTAGTTTTCTTGACAACTCTTATTTACATTCAAATAAACTAACGTGAGACATTTTTCACTATCAAAACCACATTTCTAATTTAATTTCTTTTATTTTTCCTAATATTTTATATCAACAAATGTCGAGTCATGCTTACAGATATTACTTTTATTATAAGGATAACAACATTTTGAAAAGAATTTCAGTATCTACAAATATAAAATTAAAGATTGAATAAATCTGATAAATAACTAATAACAAGTCTACTCAAGTACAGTAATCGCAATGACGTTCAAAACAAATTTGCAAATTATCCCCACAGTGATAAGACTGAGTTTTCTCGAATGTAACTATGTACTCATACTCGTTCAGTTTTAATAATAAAATATCGAAGTCCACCTTGAAAAAGAAAGTATGTTGTTTCTTTCGTGAATATTCAAAAGTTTCTCATACAACGTTATATAGATTCTTTTATAAATTAAAGAAGTAGAAGAAGAAGAGTACTCTAACATTTGGCTAGGTGCGGTATATGGGCGCTATATGGGAATAACTTTGAAGATTTGATTTTAAGATGTAGCTCCGTGTTTCTTGTTTTTCATTTGCTGATCAATTACAAGTTCTTTTTTTATAACGAAATGTTGTTTCAATATAGTCTTGAAACAAAGAATCAACTGAAGAAATTCTATTCGAAAAAAATTCATGATCGAATAATGAATAAAATATATTCATCAGTATAGAAATCAGATCAAAACTTCCTCTATTATAAATAATTTTCAATAAAGATGAGAAATTAATAATAATGCATTTTTATCTTACCTTTTCAAAGCAATATCCATATTTCATTTAGGTCGAAGTTCAACAAAACATCTATGTTTAGTACGAATACATAAATAGCGAAGCGTCAAAAAACTATATTCAAATTCATTCGACATTGAATTCGTAGAGGTATGAGCAGACAATTTTAAACACAGTGAGCAATAACAGGTGGATCATCGCCAGCAATTATGTTATATTTTGTTAGAACTAATATTATTTCACTTTCTTCAATTAACAAAAACTCTATAAAATATCATTAAATTCGCTTGACAAGAGAATCTCTTCAGATCCTATGTCCGATTTGAAAGACTTTTCTGTTGATAGATACTATATTGTGTTCTAGAAAAGGCTTTAAATCGATTTAGATTCATATTGAGACTTATCGAAGGTATTCAATCGTTGATGGACCCTTGCTTTTCAAAGCAACAGAAGTTTCTCCAATGAAAAGATGTTGTAGGTGCGTAACGTTATCGAAAATTTTCTAAAACAACTATTTCTAGATTCGATAAATATTATTCCAATATTGTATACGAATCTTGCCTAGCACTGTTGAACTCTTCTTTCTGAACGATAATTTAATGAAAAGTGAACAAAACTCATCTCATTTTGGGAAGGAATCGAGTTCGATTTTTCAGATTCTGGAAAAAGCAAGTTAATTATAAGCGTTTATCAAAATCTAATCCCCGAGATATTTAACAATTCTCTTACCTATGTGAGATGTAGATATCCAAAACATAAAACTATTTCTTCTATTGAACGTAATCTTTTCTAATTCGATTTCTTTGAATTAACTAAAAATCATTTTTAATAATAATCGACTTATTGATATTTTCTCACAAATCGTTAATCAATCAATTTAATTTGTTTGTAACCCATTGTAGATATTATTTATAAGAAAAAACTTTTCGACAAATAAGATAAGAATTTTTAACGGAATCAGTATCAATGGTGTGGGTGTTGATGTCGAAGAAGTAAGCAGTCACACCCACACTCACCCCACACACCCACACCCACACCCAAACACCCACATTTTTGCTAAAAATTGCATGAAACTGACCAGAAAAGCTCGAGATTACATAAACAATATTCTCATGAATTATTAAAAAAATTTATATAATTAGGCAGCTTATGTTTTTACTGGTCTCTTTTTGGTTTTTACAATGTTACGACAGAGTGTTGTTATATGAGCGACTTTTCACTTGTGTTTATAGCAATCGATAAACTAAATTCTGATCCGACAGAAAGATTATGAGCAGTTATACATGTTACATGAAAAAGAAAATTTATGATATTATGTGAAATAGAACAAAGTTTCTCTGTAAGAGATTCGGATAAAAAATTGTTTTTGCTTTGTAAATACCAAGTTAAGTAACAATAAATACCTTTAGAAAGAAACAAAATTATTTAATAAAGAAGAAAATAAAATTCTAGTAGATGAAATATCATTTATTTGTTAAATTTAGTTGTAATACTTGATTTTTCTAAACATACACTTATTTCTATTTATGCTTGTTCATGATGCTGGCTTAATGTTTGTTTTAGATAAATAAATATTTTTATTCTATCAATTGTTATTTATTTATATTAAAATGTAAATGTATGTTCTATGTTTTCAGTTGATATTATATCAATTTATAAATGGTTTTGTTCTATTATACTAGTTTTGTACAGAAGATGACCGAATTCAATACAGTGAGTAGTCAAAAATTCTATATATTAATTACATAAATTAGAGGTACATTTAATATGCTAGCTATTAGTCTGTTTACTGAGTGTACTTCAAAGAAGAGATAAATTGGAGAAATTATTCACTTTTTCACTTAATATTACAATCCTATATGTAGCAATAATCTTTACTTAAGTTATTTAATTTTATATTAAGCAAAAGTTTGTTGGCTTTTCTATGGGTATCAGTATAGACTGTTCCTATAGGAATACAGCTTGACGTTTTATCTACCTTCAGAAACAAAACCAGCTCATATAATCAAGGTATGGTAAAGATATTTAATTGGTGAACACCTTTGATAGATCACTAGAAAATCAATGTAGTCAGAACATATCAGATATTAATAAAGCAAATTATTCAAATCTAGAAGAAGCAAAAATCTAAGTACATTTATGGAACAAAAATAAATAAATTGGTAACTTTTTGACCATTGTACATCTTTGATTTTTTTCAATTACAAAATTTAGCGAATGTCACATATTTCACAAAGGAAAATATAGGATATAAGTTTAAGTTAGTATTCATTTTACTGCAGCTGTGTTTAAAGACAGAAAAAAAGTGAAAATACTGTTACATATCAGAACAAAACAAAAAAAATTAACAGCTATATATTTAATGTTCGAATTTAATTGATCTCATTTATTATTCAGTATTTTCATTTGTTCCTAATAAAACTATCTTAAAATATTCATTGTGATGGATATTAATAACAGTTGAAACAAGCGGCATATTTTTGTTATTAATGGTCAAATAAAAATCACCAGGTTCTCTTAGTTGTTGAACGGTCACAGTTCATCGATATTGTCTTGTTTTTATTGGTCGGAAAGAAAAATATTTTTCTCTTCATTCATAAAGATACTCGTTCGTCTATTCAAAACTTACATATACGGAGACAATTATGTTTAATTTATATAATTGTTTGAATGTTAATCTTTCTTTACGTGATGCTACAATTTGAACACATGTCAAATGAGGTTATCCTTTGTATTTGGGATCAATTATCATCTGCTGATGTCATCTACAGCTTTTCAAATCTTAACACTCGTATTAATACTTTATTATTAGAATTTCATGAACTTTACAAACAATTAGATTTACGTTATTGTTCATTGCCAGCTTGTCGTTTTCTTTGTCGTCAAATACCAACTATGATACAATGGCGTCTCGGTCTTACTGTTCTCAAATTAGGTAGTCCTGTTCGATGTTCTCAAATGGATTTATTTGTAGATGAGGTGGCAAAATCAATCGTCGCAAATCATTATGAAAGACAAGGAAAATCATCTGATAAGATATCGAAAGATATCTTTCGTATTTTAATAGCATACAAGCACATACAACCGATATTTCTTCAACTCGTTTCTTTGCATATTTTTCTAACTACATCAGTCAACGAAGATACCATAAATACACTGTTATTGGCTATAGCTGGTGGATCAGCGATGCGTACATTTGCTTTGAATTCTTGTGCCAATCAAACTCACCATTCAAGAGCTTTCTTCGATTGGTTATTTCGATGTTCAATCAATCTCGTTCAATATAAAATGCAATCTTCGCAAATTGAAGATGGCTTTGAAATTACATACGAACATACAATTTTTAATACTTATGTTTCACATTATTCTCTTGTCTATCTCAAAATTAATATTCTCCATTTAAATACACTCTATGTACTTCTTCATTATCTTCCTCAACTTGAGCATTTAGGTAACAATCAATATTCTGTATCATTAAAATACTTGTAGCATACGAAAGTTTTATAAAATTTTCGTATTTTTTTCTAGATCTTTCGAAGGAAGAATAACTAGTTTCAGGATTTAAAACTCATCAAATTCATTTTTGCTTCTTTCGATCTAAATGATATCATAAACATGAAGCTTTTCCTACTTCTATGCTTGCAAAAGGACACCATATTTGAGAAATACATTAATCAGAGACATGGTTTTCATTTAACAATAATGAATATTAGCAACTCTGCTCATATTATCTAAGTGTTCTTATCAAACATCTTTCTTGGCTTTGAAATTGTTATATAAAGTGGAACGTGTATTTATTTTATTTGCAGATGTATATATCAGCAGTATGATTGGACAAAATGATGCCATTGATCAAAATTTGGTAACAAAACTCAGTTATCCAAAAAAATTCATGTATTTATTTTAAGGTAAAATATATTTGTATTTTAAGTGTTGGTTTATAGTGATATCTACTTTTTTAAGGAATTTGAAAATTGTGGGACCCAATTGCAGTTATCTTGAGCAATTGGTCGATAAATTCAACAATACATTAGAAGAATTCTCTTTGCTTTTAACTCATTACTGTAATGGCGAACGTGATATATGTTTTGATGGTCATAGTCTTGCTGCTTTTTGTAGTAGATTATCTCATTTGCGATCACTCCATTTTGGCATTTAATTGCGGTTCGTAGAGCCACCAAGTAGACAAATATTGTATGACTTCATCGAGGCTTTTCGTACACCTTTCTGGCTCAATGGACCACTGGGGCGGATACAAGTGTGTGTGAATTATCATCGAGTGTTTGACTACGTACAAATATTCTCACTTCCATACATATTTTTCGACAATACTGTACATCGTACAATAGATCTAATCGATGCACTATTCAACACTAGTGAGGAAGGACAAGAAATACCAAATGATCTCTCTTTTGCGCCTCGTACTTTCTGGTATGGTATAAGATGCTTGTTTATCTCTTTAGTTGAAAATCAAAAATTACCAGTTCTATTTCTATATGCACTTCTATGTCCCTCCAGTCGGAGTAAGTTGTTAATATTCTTGTTTGAAAAAGAAACATTTTCTTGCCATATTTAATTATATCGTTGTTGCAGACAAAACATTGGTAATACCACACACAAGAGGAATATTACCGGACCATATAGATGATCATATACAGCTTACACATTTCACCACACTTCAACTATTATGCACATCTGACACCATGACTAATTATGATCTTCAACGTAAGTTCAGGTTTGTTTTCTCTTTTTGACGAATGAACTATTACGGCTCAAGTTTTGAATGTATCCACTGGTTATGTTATTCTTGACAGTTCACCTTAGTTTCTAAAAACGAAACTTGAAAGTTGATTATTTGGAGATGATTAGATATATCATTGGTTACTCTGTCGAATTACATGCATCATAATTGAGAGAACTCATAAACTCCTCAAAGAGTATTTTGGAATGGATGCTTGAAAAATATATGTTATCAACGAATTGATGCAATAAAGTACTAAACTAGGGATATACCGAACCCAAGTCTCTCGAACTTGGTCAGCATGAGACATGATCATATTCAATGTTAAATATGCTAAGTCTTGATGTTGACTAAGTGTGCCAGAATGTGGGTAACGTATCTATATTTCATTCACACCCACACTCAAGAACCATACTGACGAGGGAAGGTCACCAAGTGTTCAATTGCTTTTGCGTTGAAACTGCTTACATTATGTAGCTCCCAAGGAGTTATGAATACGCTGAAAATATTTTGGGCGAATAGCTTATTGTTACGAAAATAGACCATTTCTAAAGTATGGGTTTTAGTGAGAGCCTGGGGTCCCCCTCAGGAACATTAAAAAAATTGATTTTCGAATTTCAACTTGAAACTTTACATAGAAAGACGCCCTACGGAAAACAACTTTTTATGAACGTTTCAAAGCTTTCTACGTTTCCTATCACTAGACACAGGTATTGCGAAATTTT